TTTCTTCATTCTCATCAACAATGGCCTCTCCCACTAAAATAGGAAGAGTGTCCCAATAAGTCACTTAAGTCAATGGCTCTATGCAACAACCATTTTTTGTTCCTCTATCTTTATCTCAAAAATTTCTCAGCACAACTCTTTCTAATAGGTCATTAAAAATAAAAAGTTACAAGTTTACTTAGGAGTTAAGTTTGATGTTGTAGATTTAGTGGAATATCTTACCTAATGTTTTCAACCATTCACTGGGTAATCATGTGTCGTTTGTTCGTGGCAAGTAAATTGATTAAAATTTTGTCAAAATTAACACTTTGTTCAGGCGGGTAATTATGTGTCGTTTGTTCGTGGCAAGGAAATTGATTAAAATTTTGTCAAAATTAACACTTTGTCGAGGCGGGTAATTATGTTTCGTTTGTTCGTGGCAAGGAAATTGATTAAAATTTTGCCAAAATTAACACTTTGTTGAGGCTGACTCCACCATAAGAATCCAACATTCAAAGAAAGAGGCATTCAGTGGACCATCCAAGTGACAAAGAATGGAAGCAAATTTTGCAAAAACTTGTTGACTTGGAGCTCAATGGTTAAAAAAATTGTGATAAAATCCCAATAGAGTAAATATTAAGAATCTAAAACTTTTACCTAAGGCATGTGATTTTTTTTTATGTCAAATTTAGAGAGCGCTTCAAATAATTCTAAATTCATTCTTTTAAGGGTGTATGGTAAAATAAATGTTATGTGTTGATTGAGTGATTGCCATATTAACTTGAGCGAAAAGGTGAAAAAGGAAGACAAGTTTAGTATATCTGAAAGTTGAAAGAATTCTTTAGACTTGTTTGAATTGAAACAAAGAAGATAAGTGACATTTGAGTTAGGAATGTGTGGCGATCATTGATTGGATGTCAATGCTATTTTTACTGTTAAATTTTTTTATTTAGCAAGTAGGTTCCTTGAGAAATTTTTATTCAAATAACCCACCTTTTCAAATTAATACTCAACCTAACCCATTTTCCACGTATTTTTCAAACTAACTCACTTTCAAAAAAATGAAATAACAACGGTATCGCCAATCCAATTAGCGACAATGTACAAACTCATAAGAAGTGTCGCAAATTCAATTGACGACAGTGTACAAACAAATAGGAGAGAGAATGTTCTCTTTTTGTACACTGTCGCCAATTGGATTGACGACACCTCTTTGTTAATTTTTTTTGAAAGTGGGTTAATTTGAGAAATACGTGGAAAAGTGAGTTACTTTGAATATTAATTTGAAAAAGTGAGTTATTTGAAGAAAAATTTCTTTCCTTAATGACAAGTAACAATTCAAGTTTTAGGTTGTGATAATAGTCCATCATCATGATATTTTATAAGTTGTTTCAAATATTTACAGTAGCAATTAGTGAAAAGTTACATAACTTTGAAGTGAATTTTAACAATATTTAAGACTAAGACCAAAGCATTCTAAAAAAGAGAAAAAGAAGAATTTTGAAAAACTCAAAAATTGGTGCGTTTACTTGAAAAATCATTGGGTGGTTTTTATTGAAATGCTAAATTAACCATCAAAATCTAAGTTTTACATTAGTTAAAGATATATCATAAAAATAATTTATATAAAGTGATACTCTTCACATTACAAACTATTTTTATTTAATGAATTAAACTAAACTCTAACTTTAATATGGCGTCAGAATCTATCTATTAAACTATAAATCATCCAGCGACACATCAAACCTAATAATTTTTCAATTGTGTAGTTGGTTTTCTATTGTATTAGGAGTTGGTTCTTTTATAAGTCTTATGTTGAGTTAAGGTACATTTAATACTTTATTTGAATATGAACATATTATATGTGATGAACTGTATTGAGAAAATATCAAGCTCCTCATTAATAAAAGATAAAGTTTTAAAAAAATTATATAAAATGTCACTTTTTACATTACGAAACAGTTTTATAAGAATAAGTTTCACCAAATTTTAATTTTAATAAATCTCAAAAATAAAAGTGTTGACCTTGACTTGGTCTTTATATAGTACTACTATTAATTCTACACAACTAATAATGTGTTTGGAGATGGACTCATTCAAAATAACTATAATTGTTTGGAGGAAATTTCTTCTGGCTCACGTAAGAGTTACAATTTCCAGACAGGTGGAATGAGAATTCGAAGTTTGTTCGGTTGTTACCAAACATTTTTCAATTAGTATGTCGTGTGAAAGGTGATAAACATAGGACTGAAAATTGTACTGCATGTTTTGAACTATAGCTAGAAGGATTGGAAAGTGGAGGGAAAATGAAGCCATTTATTTTGTTATAAGAGTGGTTACCGTGGTGGAAAATAACATCATATTTTTTAAAGGTATATAAAAGATTAATTGTTATCTACTCATCACAAAATATTGAATAGAGTTATCTATTGAATAAATTGTTTTGAAAATCTTACAAATTTAAATAATTTAATAAATAATTAAATATAATAAAATTAAACATCAGTGTTTGATTGTACTAGATTATCAAACTTTTAGAGATGAGTAGTATTTGGAGCTGACCAAATATCTAAATCGCTAAGACCTAAATTCATTTCAAACCGTTCCATATGATCCATTGTATAAAACTCACGTCACACATTATCCAAGATACATTTTTTGATTTTTACTTTTCGCTACACTCATCTTAAATGTTGAAATGACTTGAATGTTGGAGTGCTAACCTTTCAAGTCTAACCCCGTGTTACCGTATCAGAAATTAACACCACCGATTTAGGATTATGCCTCACCAGCTTGCATCCAATTATGGTTCTAGAACGGAAAAGTGACATCATCTATGGGAATTGATTTTTTATTCCCTCGAAATTCTACGAGCAAATCATCTTTAATCCAAAATCAGATCTCTACCGAAAATAGAGGGAGGAGAAGCAGTAATTCCGTTAGTCATGTCCAGGAAATTTGTTACCTCCTCCAATTCGGTCATCCATCTATTATCGCTGATCGATGAGATCCGCAGTGCTAAATTGAGAAGTGAAGTCTCTTTCTAAGTTGATTGAGCAAAAGTTTCTTGCTAGGTTACTTGAGCAGAAGTTTCTTTCTAAATTGATTGAGTAGTGAAGTCTCTTCCTATTTTGCTCGAGCAAAGTATAATTAGTTTGATTATAGTGAAAAGCTCTTGTTGAGACTAGGAGACTGAGCTACTCTCAATTGAAGAGAGGAACCAGAATTAACTTTGTGTGCTGCTTGCTTATTGCTTCTGATCAATTTTATTTTTGCTGCTATCATAAGATTCTGATATCAGACTCTGAACCTTGCTTAGATTTTTAAGTTGCTTATTGGAAGCGAATCATTTTTGACATACCCAATTCAACCCCCCTTCTTGTGTATTTTTCTCGCCTTCACAGTGTTCGACCTAGCTTCGGCCATGAGTAGCACATCATCAAAATCGCTATCTTCAACATGTGCATATTGCACTTCATCATTATCTTCTGCTCGTGCTTCCTTCTTTCTTCGACAGTCTCGAGCATAGCGGACAATTTCTTTACACTTGTAACACTGCACCTCATTCATGTTAACTTTCTTTACAGAATATTTGTTGCCCTTGCCTTTCTTGATCGAATCAGAGTGATTCTTTGAGTTCTTGCTTGACTTCTCATAATTATCATGATTCTTTTCCTACTTCGCCTTCTCTTTCCCAGACTTCTTGATGAATCTTGCTTGTAGTGTCTGTTCATTCATCTTCTCCCTTTTCGAGTCCTCTACTTCAACCTCAGCTGACAAGCCTCTAATGAAGCTTGAAGTTCTTCAAACTTTATCTCATTTATGCTTTTGGATCTTCAATTGACACAACAATGTAATCAAAATTTATTGTCATAGATCTCACCACTTTCTCAATCTTTTATAAATCATTGATTAATTCACCACACACCTTTATCTGGTTTGTTAACAACACTACATGTGAATGGTATTCAGAGACTGATTCATCTTCCTTCATCCGAATCATCTTGAATTTCTTTCTCAACGTATGCAACTTCACCCCTTTTTCAGTTTTTCATCTTCACCGTACAAGTTCTTTCACTTGTCCCACACTCCTTTGGTTGTTTCTTCTTCAATTACTTTCTCAAACACATTATAATCCTCACACTGGTGATTCAAGAACAAACATTTTCCATCTTTCTTTCTTCGTTCCCTGTGCGCACTTTGTTGAACATCATCTGGTTTCTCTTCCAATGGTAGTACTCCATCATTCACAATTTCAGTCACATCTTAAAATCTGAAGATGACCTTCATCTGTGCAACCCACTATTTGTAATTCTCCCCTTTGAAAACCGGTAGATTCATTGAAAATTGTGTTAATGTTGTGTTTATGTTTGTCATTACAGATTCTCTTTAAATCGCAACCCGAGCTCCTTGATACTAATTTTTTGGAACATAAAGGGTTTTCAAGAAAGATGAGGAAGAAGAAGAGAGACAAAAGATAGAAACTAATTTGTAGAAAATTTAGAATTTGTATTGAGTGAAATTGTTCATAATTTACATCATACAATGCTTTTATATAGGCAACTAATGGTCAAACCTAAAACTATACAAATCGACTAAAGTCCAAAACATATAAAATGCAAAGTATAAAACTACAATTTACATTTTGACATACTAACTAAATGATATATTCGACTTGGATGACTCTTACACTTCAACTGGCTACTTCAACGTAATCAAATACTAACTTTCTACAAAACATTAAATTACAACTTCAAACACTTTTGACCATCAATATAAAGTGTGACTTCAAAGGCCTTATATTTCGGCATTAATTGACACCCAATTAACTAAAACAATTTGTATAAGAGATATACACATCTTTATGTAAAAAAGAATGAAAAACAAATTATCAATATTTAGTGGTGATTTATTATTATTATTATTATTTTAATTTTGAATGGCAAAGAAATCATATTAAAGAGAGTATAATATATTTCAACTCATTATAACCGAAGAAATAGAAGAGAAAAGAAATTATC